TACATAACACGATTTCTTCTTCTGAAGGGCTGGTTGTGAATAACGCGAATTGTTAGTCCAAATATTTCCCAAGAGGATTAGTGGAAGAATCGCGTATAGATCCGTCACAAGTTTCATCTTTTTTTTTTAAAGAGATGGTACACCAGGTAAAACAAATAATTACCGTAAAAAAACACATTCATTGCTGGTTCAATTGTGAAAGGAGAATCAGCGTAAGAGGAAAGACGCATATGCAGAGCTCTGAAGAAGAGAGAGCTGCAGTAGTCTGGCGTGCCCAAGATTATTTGAGAATAAATCAGGATAGCAGATAGACATGTGCTGACAACATCCACGACAGTGGAAGTGCGTGTTGTTATCCAGTATGAATGGGCACCTGGGACTAGTGCATACGTCATAGAAGAATGCCTAAAAATCATGCATGGTGTTATGTGTTCAGTGAAGGAAGGCAAAATGTGGAGAATGAAAGTCGAAGTAGGCGTCCATCTGCATCCACGAATAAAAACAACGTTATTAGAGTACAGGGCGTGGTGTTAGAGTGATGTCCACATTGCGAACTGGTCATGCCCAAGCCCATAATATGCTCCAAGATATGCTTGGATTACTGAAAAGTGTCTGCAAGATGGGAGCCTAAAAAACCTAACCCTGTACCACAAGAGTACAGGAGTGTGAGTTAGCCTCGATCCCTTGATGCGGTACGCGTGAGAAGGAAATGAGTTTCTGTTCAGAATCATCACAGACGATAAGCCACTTTATCCCAGAAACCAAGGCTGTTTCAATGACGCGGAAACATCCCAGTTCACAAGTAAGGGAAAAATTTCTTTTAAAACAATGCTAAGATGAAACAAGCAGCATGAGAATTCCTTCTATCGCTGGACACCGAGTTTTACCGGAGTAGTTAATTCAAATTGATAAGTACGTAACGAAAACTGTATTAGTGTCGGTAACGACGATGTCGTGAAATAGTGCAAGGTGTATTGTTCATGATGTCATAGTGTATTACTTTTTGGCAGTAAAGTTTTCATGTGGGGAAAAAATGATGAAACTTTCTTGCGGAACGTCCCTCGTTATCTCAGTGATATCTTAACCCCTTAACTATCAAGTTATTTTGATGATTTGGGTGCACAAATTGTCAAATTTTTTTGAACCAAAGAACTTCTAACCTCTAACCTTTGAAGTCTTCAGTAAAGTGCTGCCATCTATTGAATTGAACGCACATTAACTTTTCCCGAGAATCAGTCGGGTTTGACAAAGAGATGAAGCCGAAATAAACGTCTCCCGATATATATTCGGGTAAAACAATACAATGCACTCAAAAAAATTACCCCGAGTAATACTCAGGCGTGACATTTTCGAACACCAGTGCTGTGCCCGAGATTATCTCGGGCATGAAAAGTTAAAAGGCTAAGAATTCTTGAGGCCCTGAGCCCCTGGGCAAAGGTTTCCTCTTTCGACCCTTTTAAATAGACATATAACTTACGTTGTCAAATACTCGTGATTGTTTCATATGTCCTCTTAGTCCAAATACCTATACTAGGTCAATGAGACTATGTAGCTCTAATAACTCCACAAGTCCATTCTCCCCCTCACTCCACAGCTGCCTTACAAAAGGGTCAATAGAGTCAATTGCTTGAGTAGGAGAAGCAGCATAAGAACGAAGGTAAGATAAAAAATTCTTTTCCTTGACCAGGAATTTCAAGCCTGGACAATGAAGTACGTACGGATCTTGTACTTATCGACTATAGGGACAGACCAGGATGATTTCCAGCATAAAAATCATACAAACTGTAATCTGTAACAAGTAAATGGATGTGACTCACAATCTTACAAACCTAGGCAAAAAAACCGACTCGATCGGCAGCCGCCTTTCGTCAGAATGAGTAATGACGGTGTATGGTGGTAGTCTTAGGCCTAGACACGAACGGCCTAGACGGCATAATATGCAGCCTTATTTCTGTTACCTGTTAGCATGTAATTGAAAATTCCCAGTTTTTCGGAAAATATGTCTAAGAATAACATTTGATGATTAATATTATTCTGATCATGCTCTTGAGGACTAGACAAGGCGCTCTTTCTCAAGGCTGTGGCCCTGAGCCCAAGCCCAGTTTTCGTTCATGCCTTATATCAATCGTCCCTGCCCGTAGTATACCAAAAATAAAGGTTTTATGGAAGATCAACTAAAAATAATATTAATCATCCCTTTTCGTAAGTTTCTTTGTGAAAAACATATTTCTTTAAGTTTCCAAAATGTTTGTAATAGACGATCTTCAGTCTATAAAATCCTTCACCTTTCGGACTTCTGAGATGAAGTATACAACACACCTCGGAGGGAGGTTCACGAAGAAGACTCATAATTCATATGCTTAACCTCCCCCAAAGAGAAATTACTTTCTCTCTCCATTTCTATAATCTACTTCTCATTCTCTGAGACCCAAAGAGCACTGCTGGTATCATCTTCGAGGAAATCGCTTCCTCCACCCCCTTGTCCACCCCAGCCGCAACGGCAGTCTCATTTCCCTGGGGCTTGTCAAGATTCCTTTTAAGCGGTGTCATATCTGCTTTCACGGAATAAAAGGGGAAAAAAGTTCGTTCTCTTTCTCTTTTTTTAATTTCCCATTGGCAGTTTGTTATATCGTCCTAAATGAGTTTGGAAGACAACGGTGACGTACAAAAATAATGATAATGTACAAGAGAAAAAAACAATGTTATGTTTGCGTCGGAAACAAAGGAGAGGTTTTTAAATTAAGTTGTTGGTTATACTAAATTGCCTTAAGAAATGTTACTTCTTCTTTAGGAAAGGTGATAAACTGTTTGTTTTTTATGGAAAGGTTAATTAAAAGACTTTAAAGTTATTGTATTGTGTGCGTGTGTGTGTGTGTGGTTCGTAGTTTTTTTTGGGGGGGGTATCAGGTTTTTTGAAGTTATACTTCTTTTGGGGCGTTAGAGAAATAGGATGAGGGTAAATTTTTACAATGCGCACACCCCGTCACGGATGTGACGCACACCATCACGGACGCGAAAATACTTTGCCTAGAAATATACAGAACGCGACAAATCATTCCCACCTTCGAAATTCTCAGAAAAATATTCCTCTTCACTTCCCTGAAGAAGGGGGCACCCGGGTTTGAACCGGAGACCTCTCGATCTACAGCTGAATGCTCTACCACTGAGCTATACACCCACGTCAGCGAACCTTTGCTTTGTGTTCCGTAGGAACGGATACGAAAATGCTTTGATTAGAAATATGCAGAATGGGACAGATCATTCCCGCCTTCGAATTTCGAAAAAAATATTTCTCTTCACTTCCCTGAAGAACGGAGCATCCGGGTTTGAACCGGAGGCCTCCCGATCTGCTGTCGAATGCTCTATCACTGAGCTATACCCCCCGCGTCACGGAAACCATTGCTTTGCGTTCCGTAGGAACGGATACGAAAATGCTTTGTCTAGAAATATGCAGAACGGGACAGATCATTCCTGCCTTCGACCCCCTCCCCATATTATTGGTCTTATTGTCTTTGTGCGGGGGTGTTTAAATTTATTTAAATCGTGATTATCTCACGTTTGGCTTGTCCGATTGACTGAAGCTTAGTATCGTTAAACTCTGCTCGTGACTGCCTTTCGTCCTTGGCCCAGCTTTCCCTGCTAAAGATTTTTAGAAAGATTTTAATCTTGTTACGCCAAAGAAGTGCAACTCTCTTCTTACGTGCGTACATAAGTACACACACACATACTTTTTTTTAAGCTCATCAAACTCTGGCTCTGTGTTTAGATATGAATTATAATTTACTTCTGTGCAAGAATTGTCACAGGATTGTTTCTCCATTTCCTAAGTCATTGCTATGATTAATGCATGACGAGCTTTACTGGTGTATAAGAACGATATTGATAGTACAGGGAGTAGAATGTTCATAAAATCAAAAAAAATTTGTCCAAGATACAGAAGAGAGGAACCCTGACTTTTGCTTTATTTTCCGCAGGTAGTTAATTGCCATAAACGAAGGCTTTGACTCGGTTTTTTCACTCAGTGATGGAAAATAAATTTGGATTTTGTATCTTTTAGTAAATGTTCTAACCAATACTTGGCTAATTGTCATAGTCTGAGAGACAATATTGGAGTTATTATT